ATCCTAGGCAGGGATAGTATCAGGAGAAATACATAGATTGTGGCATGCATTTAATGTTTATTCTGTCTCTGTTAATATGGGTTTAAATCTCAGATTGGTTGCTTTAAAGTTCTTCCTATGTTAAAGGACTTCACTCTCTTTGATCTATTTTAAAATTTATTGTGAATAAGGCATGATTTTGCACAGTAAGCCATAGGAGCTTTCGTTCAGAGTAAAAGCATGGCCCTGTTTAAAGAGAACTATTCTTCCTCTTGATATTTACATGTAATCTTCCTTGGCATTGTTGGGTTGTACCTGTTCAGTGATAGGAGGATGGAGAGTAATAGCTCATAAAATTGCATTGGGTAGGTCAACAGTCAGTTATGATTGCATATCTTTTATTCATCTCTGAGGACTTTGGGGATTTGGCATAATGCAGCTAAAATTAAAATTTGAAAATTCTTATTAATCCCCTTCACCAGTCTAATAACAATGAAAATAACATCCAGCCTAGCATTAGACATATGTTTACCGAACCAAGTTTTATATATTAAAGCCCATTTCCATTACAATTTCAGCAGAAAATATCAGCAACTTGCCTCCCTATGCAGTTGATGGATGTACAGGTAGCCCTTACTTTGAAAATAAAACTGCTCATATATGTAAATTGCTCTACAGAACTACCTCCCCAGCTACGCTTTTTTTACTTCCTACCACATTGTAAAAGGCAAGAAAATAAATAGGGTCTGAAAGTGGGTAGTGTTCAGAGATACTGAAAACAGCTTTCTTAACATAGCCCTGATTCCCTACTCTCTTAAACTGTTTTCACACAATGTGAACCAAACTGTGTGTCTTCTGATCTGTCTGTTCTGTGCAGCTAGCTCAAAGGAAGTGAGATCTGGCTGGTTTCGGCTGGACCATTTCCACAAGAAGAGCAGAATATCCCTGGAGGGAATAAAGATGTGTTAATAAGCTCTTATTTCACTTGCCAAAGGAAACAGCAGAGAGTTGTCTACAGAATTTCTAGGTTTAGTATTTTCTCACCTGTTTTTGCAAGAGTGACATTACAGCAGCTCTCAGACTATAAGAAAGGAAGGCAGGCTTCAGATAACTAGATTGTAAAGGACCCACAACTGCTCACGAAGAGCCCTGCTTCACACTAACCAAAGGGGAAGATTCAGCAGGGGATCTAGCCAGTACCACTGTCATTTGCAGGAGTGACTCATGATCTGTGTGACGGGAATGGAGTTTATGATACAGATTATATCTCGCGTTGAATGCAATGGAACTCAGGGCTCAATGGCTTGCATCTTTTACAAAATTTGCAACAGACAAATACTAAAACTGCCAACATCCATTAATTTTAACACTTGCTATGATTTATTACTCACAAAACTTGGATCCATATAAAAAACTAAATATATATTATTGAAACTGACCACTTCCATAGAAACTACTGTATGGCAGATGTCAGGAAAATCATGAATAGCGCTGGCAACATGAGCAGGAACCCATTATTCAGCAATCACAGCACCAGATCAAAGGACAATTTAACAGAACTGAGTGGGATCTTTCATCCTATGCATGGTTAAATTGTGGAGAATCTTGAACAAAGTCTTATCAACATCAAAAAAGAAATATGTTCAAACAAGAACTTGCAGCATCATAAAAGGTTATTAAACATGTTAGGCTCCATGCAGCCTCTCACTTATGAAATTCCTGTGCTGCTGAAAACTAAGAAGGTGTTCCTGGAGGAAGTTTTCCCTCAATATGTCCTACCTATCATACTTTTTCCTAATTCTTTCCCTCTCTTCTACCACATAAGATCTGGGAGAGCAAATCAGATTTTAAGTTCCAAACACAGACTAATATATGAGATCAAAACACTTTAAAAATCTGAAAACATAATGTGTCAGAAATGACAGTAACTCACAATCAGTTGATTGTGAAGCACTACTTCTCTAAGAAGAGAATCAAGGCTACCTGAAAAGATAAGGACAAATGTCGGCACCTGCACATCCTGGCTTTTCCTGTATATCACAGTATACCAGCTGGAAAAAGTGACTACACAATTGCCAAAAAATCATAGCTTTCAACATGAGTAGAGAATATCAGAAAAACATATTATAAAGAGGTTTTTGTAACAGCTGGCTTTTTGCTGAAGCAAATTTTTCAACTCCCACAACAGACATACTGGGTTGCAACTCATATTTCAGCATTCCAGCAAATTTTTTTTTGTACAATCTCTTGAAATAATGCAATCTGTTTTTTCAGTCAGTGATATACCAGGGAAATATCAGCCGTAGCATTGGTAAAGACAACAGTTCAGACAGATGTCACTAGCGTTCAGTTGTCACAGATATTCTGACGTGACAGAATAGTACAGTAACCCCTTTTGTCTGAACCACAGCTCTGAACCAGGCAGGCATGGTTCTATCCAGTGTCACAAATTCCATGAGCCAAACCATCTTGGAAATGTCCGTGGTTCACTTCAGCAGCAGCATTTCACTGGCAGAGTGAGTAACATCAAATGACTCTTTGTACTGTTATAGCAGTTTTTCCACTGCTCCAGGGAGATATGAATATGGTTGCTTGAGTCGGTTTGCCAAGGAATAATAAAATTACAAAAGTTGTTACTTTGGTTCCTCATATACATATGAGCAGGAACAATGAATAGCAGCTCCTTTAAGAGTTCCACAGAAAATAAAATATGTGCCAGTAGTGCCTGTTTCTTGTGTCTCTAGTGGTAGAAAAATAAATTGTCTATTTTTGAGCCTTTCTACTCACAAAGCATTATTCTAATTTCTTTGAAATGTCCCAGATTTATTTTAGTGATACATTTGAAAATAATTTTCACAACAGTTTTCTGAAAGTTTATGACTAGAAGAGAACCAGCACTCAGAATTAAGATGCTATATCATATGTGGATCTCCCATCTAATTGCAGTGATGTGAGTTTGCATTATGGAAGTTATGAACACTATGGTATTTTGCTGGTGATGTCGCTTTCCTGCAGTGAGGAGTGAATAGAAGAATGCATGAAACTAAGGGAAAGAATATCCTTAACATGTGGCTTTCCTCTAGTGCTTTGAAGAAAACATTCTGGTCTGAACAGCTGATAATCAGACAAAAAATTTACTTTGAAGTGACATACCTGTATGCAGTCATTATTCCATAAAGGACATAAATAAACAGAAGGATGAACTTTGTCTCTCAAAGTCCCATACATGTGGTGAAAATAATACATCAGAGTATTTTATGAGAAAATGATCTACAGTTTTAATGAGGCTGGGCATTTGATACTCACTTTGACTAGACAAAATCAAAACTTATAGCCAGGCTTTTAGAAACACCAGTAGATCTGAAGTAATTGAAAGCATCCACCCCTTGAATCATTGTGATGGGAGGGGAGTGTTTTCAGATCTCTCTTCTAATGGAGAAAATATTCCTGAAAAAGTCTTTCTGGCTGATGGAAAGAATGACTACTGAAAAGAGGTTGAGTTAGTAGTTTAATGACTGAACAATGATGGTCTATTACAGTCAGTAAGGCATCTCGCTGTTCTGAGGTACTTCCCATTGATAGTCTTAACAAATTGGTTTCACAGTTTTAAGTAATTTTTTGGTTATTACTTTTAATTAAGTGCTGGTTTAATTGCTATCCATCAGAGGGACTGCACTCCTGAATGGCAATCCTGGACTAAAAATGGGTGATTCCTGTGAGCCAGCTGCATAACAGCAGCTGTTGACAGTGTCAAAGGAAAATGAATGAAGTTTTGTATTTATTCATTTAAATTATTTTTAAATTTGATTGGTTTTAACAATAAAAAGTAAAATGTCTATGCAAATAAGTAATTATTTTTCTTTATGACACATTTGAAATTCAGAATTTCTACACCTGTCCAATGTGTCCAAGGAGAACAGAGTATATTACCCTTCATATTTGTGAGCAGCTTTTTACATGTCTGAAGGCTATTACAATGCTCATTCCCTTCCACTCTGTCTTTTCTTCTTGACTTACAAACCCCACCCTTGCTCTTCTCTACCAGATTCTCTCTGATCAGTGTATGCCTTTGCCAACAGTCACTTGGAGCAGATTTCTATGCCAACAAGTGCTGAGTAGAGAGGTTGCTGCAGGTGTTGCAATGCTGCAATACAGTAAATGTTCAGCTCAGCTTCATGTAAAATATGTATTACCAGCATCCAAAAGATGAACTGCTATGAGACCACTCTGCAGTAAATGTTAGAAATGTGCATAACTGGACACAGCTGTATGCAACAAGTGGAATCAAAAGCTGATGGCACAGCACATGATGCTGGTGGCACAACACAAAATGCCACATTTTGCACGCTCCAGAATTTCCCCTCCTGGGAGGCTCTATTGCAATGCCAGCAGCTGCCCGCCCTGGCAAGGAGTCAAAGGCAGCAGAAAATGCAAATTTGCAAACGCAAATATTTTAAATTTGTCAGAGCAAATATTTTCAATTTGTCAGAAATAACTGTTTCATAGGAGAAAAGGAAATATAGTAAAAAGGGCGAACTGAGGACTTAAAAAGTCAGCATAGGAGAGTGACAAAGATACTGCAGAGTATTTTTGAAAACAGGTTGACTGCAGGTCAGTTAAAACAGGCTCGCTCACACACACCGACTTGCCTTTACAATAACTGCTTTATGCGAGTGACTTCAGACTTGAGCCGTGGGAGCAGGCAGCCTAAGTGAGGACGCGTTATCTACTTAGAAACGCGTTATCTACTGCCCACCCAGTACGGGAGGGCAACTTCCAAACAGCCCTGCGAACTCTCTCGCAGAAGTTCGCAGGGGCTGGTTTGTCCCGGAGGGAGCACCCGGTGGGCGCAGGGAGCCCGGAGCGCTGGCACACAGCGGATCCCGACCCTCCTGCAGGGGGTCCCGCAGTCCAGGGCCGTGCCGGTGCAGTGCCAGAGCCGTGCCGGGCGGGGCGGGGCAGGGGGCGGCTCGGCCCCGCAGCGGCTCCGCCCGGCCCAGCCCGCGCAGCCCCCGCTCCCGCCTGCCCCCCGCAGCACATGACCCACCATGGAGGGGCGCTGGTGCTGCCCAGAGGTTCGGAGCCGGGGGAGCGAGCGGAGGCTGCCGCCGAGGGGGCGGCACAGCCGGGCGGCGGACAGGTGAGGCAGGGGCAGGTGAGGAGGGCGGGGAGCAGCGGTACCTATTCGCCCGGTCCGCGGCGGCAGCCCCGGAAACGGGGGCCGAGGGGCGCGGGGCTGATCTCCGGCGGCAGCAGCCCCGGGTGAAGTGCGGTCGCGGGGCGGGAGGGGACGGGGCGGGCAGGGAAGCGGCGGGTAGGGAAGCGGCGCAGTCCCCCGGGCTTCTGTCGGGGCGCTGCCCGGAGTCCCCGCTGAAGCCAGTGTTCCGTGTTGTGTCGTCCCGGTTGGTTTCCCGCACCCTGACCCAGCGGCTGGAGATGAGCGCTGAAGCGGAGGGGCCGTCGCGGGCGGATGGTGCCGGCGCGGACAGCACGAGGTGACGCCGCCTCAGGTACCGTGGCTCCTTCAGCATCCTCGGGGGTGCGGGCGGCGTTGGGCGTGCAACACCCTCCGCTTAGATGGAGGTACCGCTCGGAGTCAGCGGGGGCGGTGAGGTGTCTCTGGGACGGTAGCCAGAGGCGAGGGACACATTCCCAGCCTGGTCTGGCCGCCCCCCAGGCGGGGCAGTCTTCTCTGCAGCTTTGTTGTGTTTTTGATCCAGGAGAGTGTGGGCTGCTGCTGGCAGCTACAGGATGAAGTCGCCTCCCTGCTGCATGTCTCTTTCTTCCCAAGCATCCCTGGACGAACCAGGGAGTAGCATGTCCCTGGGTTCGCTGAACTCCAGTGTTTTCTCCAGTGAGGAAGAGCAGGGACCCCTGCTCCAGAAGGTCATTCCCCCCTTGGACTGCTTTACTATCAACGTAGGAGGCAGCCGCTTTGTAATGTCCCAGCAAACTTTGTCTTGCTACCCTGACACCCGCCTTGGCAAACTGGCTGTAGTGGTCTCTGCTGCCCGGGATGTGGCCTCTGGCCTCCTTGAGCTTTGTGATGATGCCAACCTCGTGGAGAATGAATATTTCTTTGATCGGAGCTCACAGGCATTTCACTACATCCTGAATTACTACCAGACAGGGAGGCTGCATGTGATGGAGCAGCTATGTGCACTCTCCTTCCTGCAAGAGATCCAATACTGGGGTTTGGATGAGCTCAGCATTGATTCCTGCTGCAGAGACCGGTGAGTTGTGGGAAGATGAGGTTTGTGGGATAGTGGGCTGGGTGAGCTCAGCACTGACTTGCATTCAGGGACACACAGATGAGAGACCCAGCAGCGGGGATAGGTGAGGTAGCAGTGCATTCAGAAAAGTGTGCTCAAAGCTGGATGAGTTCAGCCCCGAGTGCTGTTCTAGAGGTGAATGGGTGTCAAAAATGGGAGGAGATGTATTGGGGGAGGTCACAGATAACCTTTGCTGAGCAATAGGTTGGCAGTGAGGTCAAGATAGTGAGACCCTAAAAGGAACAGGGTCTGGGTTGTCCTGTACTGGCTTCAGACTGGCCATAGAAGCTCAGATGTTTGAAGAGGACAATGCTGGAGATGAAAAAGGTTGTGAAAGGAGAGATACCCCTTTAGTCATTCAGTTTGAGGTTATCCCAGAGTGACTGGATGTGGAGTCAGGCACTATGCTGGGAGGGTTTGAATCTTCCCCACGCCACACTTTCATTTTGAAGGATTTCCAAATCCAAGCAGGAGAGGCAGAAGGGGGGGCTGGTCACCTGCCAGGCTGAGTGTGGGTGGCATGGCTCCAGCAGGAGCCATGAAAGGAAGCATCTCACATGGATGTAGCAGCTTACAGGGAGGGGGTAGCAATAGCGGGAACATGGCTCACTGGAGACAAATTGTAACAGGCAGTTTAGGAACGAGGTGGGTTTCGACTGAACCACCCCCAGGATGTTTCTGTTAATTCTATTTGCAGTTCATTTTAATTTTTTTCCACCATTTTTAATGGCACTGGTTTGGTTTTTTTGTGTTGAAGAAATGGATTTTCTAAAGAGTGTAAGTGCTATTTATCTAAAGCAGTTATGTCAAAATTACTGGAAAGAAAACAAGCAATCTCACCTCAAATGGATATCAGTTATCTTATGCTAGTGGCTTTAGTTCTGTAGCTGAGAGAGTTGAAGCCCAGTTTTCATCCCTTTCTTCCTTCCCTGACAGGTGTAACTGAAAACTCCTACTTCTTTGGTGTACTTTCAGTATGTTTTTGTTTCATGCAATTATTCTGTAAATATGCTCTTGCTCTGACAAATTATGTATTTGCAGACTGTAAATTTTGCTCAGCACAAATCCGTGTGCACTTTGTGTGAGGACCCATATATTTAAAAAAAGAAAGATACCTTGTCATCTTAGTATGTATTGATCAGAACTTCATTTTCTGGTTTTTAATATGCCATCAGTTTTAGTATTGCAAATACACACCAATGTAATAAAAATGCAATATCATTAATCAAACTGAGAACCGTTTAAAAACAGAGGATCTGGGGATGCCAGAATTGCTTACAAGAGTGCATGTTAGTCATGCAGCAGATTCTGCTGTAGTCAACATGATCCATATAAATAAAATGATATCAGAATAAAATTACTCTGCACATAGAAAGTGTCACTGATGTGAAATGGGGGAATAGAAGTATATCAGGTCAGTGGAAACATGCTGCAGGGTCTCAGTTAACAAAATCTTCAACCATATGCTTGATATTAGGGTTTTCTGAGTATGGTATACTTTAATGTGTATTAATGTGTAATGACTTGCATGGTACAGGATGAAAAGAATACGCATATTAGTATTAAAAATCTTTTGGGGGGGTGGTTCCTGGACAGGTACTTCAGGAGAAAGGAGCTGAGTGAAGCCTTAGACATCAAGAAAGATGCAGAAGAACTGGATGCCCAAGATGAAGAAGAGGACTTTTCTGGTACCCTCTGTCCCAGTGTCAGACAGAAACTTTGGGAAGTTTTGGAAAAGCCTGGCTCCTCTGCAGCAGCCAGGACTTTTGGCACTTTGTCCATGGTTTTTGTTGTTGTGTCCATTGCCAACATGGCTTTGATTTCGGTAGAGCTAAGCTGGCTGGCACCCCCACTACTGGATGCCCTCGAGTACCTGTGCATTGCGTGGTTCACAGTGGAGTTTGTTTTAAGGTTCCTGTGTGCACGAGATCGGTGTCGCTTCCTGAGGAATGTGGCAAACATTATAGACCTCCTTGCTATTTTGCCATTCTACATCACCCTGCTGGTGGAGAGCCTGTGTGGTGGTGAGAGCTCTCAAGAGCTGGAGAACGTGGGACGTATTGTCCAAGTGCTGAGACTGCTCAGAGCCCTGCGGATGTTGAAGCTGGGAAGACATTCGACAGGTACTTTTGGCCGTAGCAGTGGTACTTCTTAGTTTTGCTGCCTGCAACAGTAGTCCCTGGGCACAGTCCTCCGTTTTGTGTGGATTTCTGCCAAAGCTTTGAAAAATTAGATGCCAATAGTAAATCATGGTCTCTGTCCTGCAATATTAGCCTGTTCTGAAGGCGGTGATGATCATCCTTAAAATGCACCCAGTGTACCCTTCCAGGATTCCAACCATGAAGCAGGAATTGGTTGATGCCTGTCCATTTGTTTTAAAAGCCATCTCTGTGAATTGGCCCCAATTCTAGCAGGAGTTAGTGTGCTCACAACAGCAGAATGTGTCTCTATTTTTGTTCCCAATGAACAATGGGATGGAGTAGCTTTGATGCTACTAAGCATAATCATAGGGGTTTGGGAAGTATTTAAACTTACTCTCAACCCTACATTATTCCTATACTAATGCATAACTGTCCCTTAGAAAGCAGTTGAGAGGAAGCTTATAACGGTTTGGTCTGGCAATGTGTTAGTTTTGCTTCATTATAAGTTTTGCAGGGTTTGGTAGAAGTTTTTTGAAAGAAAGGCTTATACCCACTTTGAGGGTAGCACTAATGTGAATGCATTCCTCTCAAACTTTATTTTGAAAATAAAAAGATTTAATCTCATCAAGACACTTTTGTGCTAACAAAATAGTCATCCAAAAGTATGTTGATTCTAGTTATAAAGTTTCTGGTTTATTGCATTTTACTGTTACAGAATGAATGTGTGAAATTCAGTTCTATGACTCTTTCTATCAGTTTGAAACCAGATGTTTGAGCTGCTTGTATAACTGTAAACTTCAAGTACATTAACTTTCATGGATGGTCAAAACACTTGGTCCTATTTATTCTTAAAGTCATTATGCAGTATTACCACAGTCTATGTCACAATGTTGAGTGCCTTTAATATTGAGTTTAATAATTCCATGTTAGCTAGAAGTGAATTAATCATATAAAAATCTAGTATCCTAATCTGGAGGTATGCTGGAACCAAAATATTTGTTCTTTTTACAGGGACCAAAATACTAGTTTCAAAGTACAAAAAGCAACATACATATCTGTTTAAACTGTTCAGAGCAGTGTTACCATCACTGTGCTTGCTTCTTTGGTAGTTCAGTTGCTGCCCATTTAGGTCCAGAACGCTAATCAGATCTGTATAATTTAAATGTAGAAACTCACTGTTTTGATCTTCTGTCAGAGGAAATGTTGCTACTAAGATGAAATAAATAATAAATGTGCTAATAAATCAAAATAGAAACACTTGCAGATATGACGTCCAGTTTCTGACCAGTAGAGGTATGTTGCAGAAGAGAGCTTTGTTCATGTGCTTCTAAATACATCCTTAACCACAAGTCGTAATATAAGATGAACCCCATAAGTATCATATATAGAGACCATCCTCCTTGCACAGCTCTAGGCAGATAAATCTCAATGTTCAAGGGTGGTGCTTGCAACTCTTCTGCTCTCTTGCCTCGGATCTGGCAGCTTAAAGCTGCCTCCCAATGAAGCTTCTCTCCAACTCCTGGCTTCTCAGACCTGACAAAGCTTCATGCACTGCTCAGTTGTTTTGTATGGCAAGAGGAGTGCAAGGTCAGAAGTTGTAGGCAGCAATTCTTCTTTCACCAAGTGGAGGTGTTCACAGTCACATGGAGAACATCTCTGTAGTGCTGTGCAGAGCCATAACTAAGCTGAGATCACAACTGCAGCCTGGCCCTGCTGTCAGAGGAAAAAAACATATCAGTTCTTTTCTTCACTTTCAAGAAAGGGCAACTGAACCCTTTCTGTGGGAAAAGGACAGAAAAAGAAATGAAAAAAGTAATTTCTGCCCCTTTGGAAGCTGAAGCCAGCTCACAGGAGGAATATGATACCTAGGAACACCTGGTCTAGATTGATGTGAGTAATTATTTATGCAAAGTGCTATACTTCATCAAGGAACCACTGAGAAATCAGTAGTACCTCTATTCATAAAATGTATAGCTAGAGGGTGAGACTATTCTTCTAAGATATCGAAATTATGGATTTTAGTGCCTTCAAGAATAGATGAGAAGTGAACCTGCATTTATCTTGTTCTCTGATGCTCCTCAGCTGCTGTCTTCTTCCTGGGGCCTTGTTTTCTCTGAAGTTTTGCTGGTCCTCCTCTGGGAAGCACTTACGGAGGGTCTTCTTGAGAAGTAGGATGTGAGCATCTTACTTGTGATGGCAATGGGCTTATGTTTGAGAGAAGACAGTAACATATTTCAGGCTGTCATGCCGCTGGAGACATGAAAAAGTGAAACTTCAGCACTTTTAGTGCTAAAAATTTAGGGTTATTTAAACGCTGTGTAAATTGAAGCTCCTGAATATCAGCTTGTAGTGTCCAGTCTTTTGGGGCAATAAAGAGATGAAACTTGACCTGAATGGCAGAAATGCTTCCCCTTCCTACTCCAAGGCCTGGGCTGCTTGCCAGCCTCACGCCAACTCTGTTACAGCACCTTAGCACCTTGTAAGCATGAGTAACCAAGCTGTCACATCTCCTGGCAAGGAGTTCTCATGGGAAGCTGTAAGACTAGCTGAGGTGTCTGTGCTGGAACAGCCCTAGTTCAGCCATGTGCTAGAGCTCATAGACATTTTAAAAAGTTACAAAATAATATAGTAGAATACTTTATACATGTGATTATATACCAACTGGTTCTCACTTAGAATGAGCTGTGGAGTCCAGTAACTTGTCCGATTCATAGATTTGTCTAAAAATGTGTCCTCACTTCATCTGAAGACATGAAGAACTATATCATAATTTCAGGTGAGGATAATGGAATTAAGAATAGTAAGAATAAAAAAATCAGACTCCTGAACAATTAGAGTAATTAACCATAGGAAGACTATTTTACTGAAGGTGTCATCAATGTGATACGAAGAGTCAACAGACACTGTTCTGTTCCTCCTTATTTTAATCTTGTTTATGTGAGAGATGCATTTTTTCTAGCTGTAGTATTCTCGATCCATGATAAGGTACAAATCCTGGCTTTTATAATATTAATTTATGCTCTGAAAACAAGTGCTAAAGGGATAATTTTAAATTGGAGTACCTTCTTCCTAGCTTACCTGAAAGGAGTTACTACCTTGTTCAGTAGGAAGTTTTACAGGGAATTGGATCATAGTAATTTATAGTAATTTCCTTGGAAGATGAGAATTTGATCTGGGTCGTTGCAGTTATCTCACAGAGCTTTTGCACTGCTGATATTAGTGTTTCCAAAATATGGAGGTAGTCATAATAAGAGAGGAAAGATTTCACTGATATATCTTATTCCCCTTGTGTTACAGATTTAATCTATATCATTGCAATAAACATTCTAACCAACAGATCATAGTTACAGTAATATAAAACTTTGATATGGGCAAGTTCTTAACTGGAGTTGGTAGCAGATAGCATTGAAAAAAACTAACAAAACATTTCCTACAAACTAGTGTGTGCTTCCATTTTTGGCTGTACATAAACAAAAAGCTTTAAAACCCATTAGACCTGCAGGGGAAAAAAAAGAGCCAAAAGCAAGACATTTAACATCTTGTAGTTTGAGACTGTGGAAGGAAAAGCAAATAAAATTGCTTATAACACTGTCGAGCATGTGAAGTCTGCAAGCAGAGGCAGAGCTCCAGTAAGCTATTTTGCAAACACTAGCTTAGTGATAAGTTTACCCCATGAAGGGTAATTCATAAAGAATGTGTTTTTTTCATTTATTAGAGAAAACATAGCTCATTTTTAAAGAACAGTATTAAAAACCAATCCAAAGTCACTTGTGATTGAAAAGATAATTTCAGTCTCCCATGTGTCTCAGCTGAATTGGTACCTGTTATCTTCCTTCATTGTTTACGTGTGTAACATTTATCCATTGCACTATTTTTGGATTTACTTTCCTGCTTGCTTTGTCGGGCACTATAGTCTTGAATCAGCAGCTTTGAAAGGAATGTAGGGGGTTATGGAGAATGGTCGGCTGCACCTGAACTCCCCGTGCAGCTCACGGGCAGTAGGACTGATGCAGTACATCAGTGAATTTACAGGATTACAAGCTTACATTGGAAGGCTTTGCCATCTCCAGTTTGGCACAAGTGCGGCTGTTGCTGGAAAACCGTTTTTTTTTTTTTTGATGTCCACAGATACAAGGTGATAGTTTTTTGGGGGGAAAAAGGGGTCGAAGAGAGTCTGCGACAACTATAAAAGGATTAGAAACAGTGCCCAGCAAAAAGAAAGTTACTGAGTGAGCTGAACTGGGCTCTAAGCACACACCTGGTACCACGAATTTGGTAGCTGAGGGCTGCTTGGTCCGAAAGAAAAATAAGACAATGGCTGGAAAACAGAGGCTTGGTTTTTATTTAAAAACCGTGCTAGATCTTCTCTTATAGCCAATTACTAAATCAAGATAGGTTAATTTGTCTAAATTATATGTGTAAATGGTTCAAATGATAAGTAATGAGGAGAATTTATATGCTCTGTATTAAGGAAATAGAGATTATGTCGGAAGTTCAGTCTAAGATTGTGATCTATTTCTTTAAATCACTTTTTCCCAGTAGTGTTGAGAGCACCACCTCTTTTTTAGCCTATGGGTAGTGCCCGACTAGACCAGAAGAAGGGTTTGTGGGAGATGTGGTGGTCAGAGGCCATCTTGGGCATAGTGACCATGAAACGATAAACTTTTCAATTCTTGGTGAAGTGAGGTAGGAGCTCAAAAAAAACCACTGCCTTGGATTTCTGGAGGGCAGACTTTGGCCCGTTCAGGACACTGGTTCAGAGAGCCCCTTGGGAAACAGCCCGTAAAAACAGAGAGGTGAAGGACAGCTGGACATACTTTAAGAAAGAAATCTTAAAGGTGCAGGAGCAGGCCCTGCCTATGTGCCTACAGACGAGCCAGTGGGAAAGAAGACCAGCCTGTCTGGACAAGGAGCTTTTGCTGAAACTCAGGGCAGAAAAGAGAGTTTATGACCTTTGGAAGAAGGGGCAGAACTCGGGAAGAGCACAAGGATTACATTAGGTCATGCAGAGAGAAAATTAGAGAAGCGAAAGTCCAACTAGAACTCAATCTGACCATCACTGTGAAAGGTGTTTTTATAAATACATTAACAACAAAAGAAGGGCCAAGGAAAATCTCCATCCTTTATTGAATATAGGGGGATCATTATCACCAAGGATGATGAAAAGGCTGAGGTACTTAATCCCTTCTTTACCTCAGTCTGTAACAGGGAGACTGGTTATCCTCATGGCAACCAGCCCCCTGAGCTGGTAGACAGGGAGAGGGAGCAGAATCCAAGTCTTTGGGTCCAGATGATTCATCCTAGGGTTATGAGAGAGCTGGCAGAAGATGTCACTAAGTTGGATGAGAGTGTTGATCTGCTTCAGGGTAGGAGGGCTCTGAAGTGGGATATGGACAGGCTGGATTGATGGGCTGAGGCCAGTGGTATGAGTTTCATTAAGGTAAAGTGGTGGGTCCTGCACTTGGGTCACAACAACCCCATGCAGCACTACAGGCTGGGGGAAAAGTGGCTGGAAAGCTGCCTGGTGGAGGAGGATCTGGGGGACCTGATCAACAGGAAGCTAAACATGAGCCAGAAATGTGCTCAGGTGGCTGAGAAGGCCAATGGCATCCTGACCCGTACAGTGTGGCCAGCAGGTCTAGGAAAGCTGTCATCACTCCATACTCAGTACTGATGAGGCTACACTTCAAGTATTGTGTCCAGTTCTTGGCCTTTCAATACAAGAAAGACATTGAGATGCTGGAGCAAGTCCAGAGAAGGATAACAGAGCTGGTAAAGGGTCTAGAGAGTAAGTCATATGAGCGGCTGAGGAAGCTGGCATTGTTTCTCCTGGAGAAAAAGAGGTTCAAGGGGGACCTTATTGTTCTCTGCAACTACCTGAAAGAAGGTTGTAGCAAGGTGGGGGTCAGCCTTCCCTCCCACGCAACAAGTGACAGGGAAACGGTCTCAGGCTGTGCCAGGAGAGGTTCAGGCTGGACATCAGGAAGACTTTCTTCACAGAAGGGATGGTTAAGCATTGGAACAGGCTGCCCAGGGCAGTGGTGGAGTCACCATCCCTGCAAGTGTTCATGAAACAACTGGATGTGGCACTTAGTGCTATGATCTAGCTGAAAGGTGGTGTTCAGTTACAGGTTGGAGTCGATGATCTTGGAGGTCTTTTCCAACCTTATTGCTTTTGCGATTGTCAAAACATGTTCACTAGCAGTTGAAGAAAAACATAAAGCAGTCAGCTTTTAGGTAAGAGGTGTTTTGCAAAGCTGTGATGACAGCTACATGAATCAACCCACTGACAGCCTTTCTTGTCTTTCAGGCTTGCGCTCTCTTGGGATGACTATCGCTCAGTGCTATGAGGAGGTTGGCCTTCTGCTGCTTTTCCTCTCTGTAGGAATCTCTATATTTTCCACTGTGGAGTACTTTGTTGAGCAAGGTGTGCCAGGCACCACTTTCACAAGCGTACCCGGTGCTTGGTGGTGGGCAACAACTTCCATGACAACAGTTGGTTATGGTGACATTAGACCAGACACTACCATTGGTAAGGTAGTAGCCTTTATGTGTATTCTATCAGGAATACTGGTTTTGGCTTTGCCAATAGCTATAATAAATGACCGTTTTTCTGCCTGTTATTTTACACTGAAGATAAAAGAAGCTGCTCTTCGACAGCGTGAAGCTTTAAAGAAACTCATGAAGAACTCATCCAGCGATTCAAATATCAATGTCAATTTGCGAGACATATATGCACGCAGTGTCATGGACATGTTGCGGTTAAAAAGCAGAGAGAGAGCAAGTACAAGGAGCAGTGGTGCAGATGATTTTTGGTTTTGAAGTTATTTAACCTTGTATAGCACATAGACTAATTCAAAAATGTAGTATTAAGTGTCTCCTTTTTTATTATTCGCCACATAGTGTACTTGCTTTTCCAGATGGAGTTTTACTTACTTGGATGTACTGAAATAACAATTATATACGAAAGGTAGAATTCATAACATGAAATCTCTCAATGAGCTCTAAAACCTGCTCTCAGAACTGGATTGTCATGGGTGAATTGGGAAATAATAGATCCATGAAAGTAAAACAATGATGCAATGATTTGTCCATTCTTATATCCCTGCTAATGTATAGTAATAAAGTCTTGGTGAAAATTACCACAGTGTTTTGAATTTTAAACATCTAGGTTTTGTAATTGCACTGAGAGAACAAAAGTCAAAGTCGTTCAGGAAGACTGAAAGGGGAAGTCCAAGAAAGTGAAATGTTGAATAAATTTAGGATGACATTCCTATAAGAAGCTTAATCTTGATCCCTTTTCTTACACCAATCTTCTACTCCATTTTCACGAAAAAGAGGTTATTAGACCAGAGCAGTGTGGCAGGGAGTTAGGGGGATGGAGTGCATGGGTTTGAAATTTCCTCATCTGAAGAGAAGCAAGTGGCTACCAGATACATAAGGGGTATCAGGAGACAGGTGAAAATATTAAGCAGATGCAAGATCTGTAGCAAAGTATAAAATAGTCATGAAATAAGTGTCATACTACAGAGCATCATCTGTATTTGCTTCAGAAGTTGCAGGAGCTAATACAGCCTTTGCAATATACAAGTAATTTACAAATTAATTTGAACTATACCTTCTTTATGTGTTTTGATTTCCATGACTTACTTGTGTAGCTAAACAGTTTTTGTGCTCAAGTAAAGTTACCATTGGATAGCAGAAGAAACAGAAATTGTAAAAGATAAAAAGCCACTCATTTCTCTGTCTCCCATTAAAATCAGTAGGTATTCCAAATGGGTCTGATTTTTTAAAAGTTAATTATCTTCACTGACCCATTATTTGAAAAATACTTTAATAAAATCTTTTGTTCCAAAGGAAAAATGAGTACTTGTTGGACTGAATGCTTACTCTGATGCAGTACACAAAGTAAAAAAGTTATACAACCAAAGGTATTTTCAATTCAGTTTCCCACCATTTACCTCTACAGTGGCCCAAGACCATTCTTAGCAAACAAAGCTTTTCTTTAATATAATTTCACTGTCCTAGACTATGACATTGACATAGAATGCATATAACTCAACTAGTAGGTTAAATAAATAAAGTCACAGACCTCTTCCATGTCACATTTCTTTGGGCAATATAAATAATAAAAACATATCTATTAACCATGGATTATTTAACTTTATGTATTTATGTACACAGAAGGCTTAAACTGCCTTCAAGAATGTATGAATGGGTGAAATAGCCTGCTTTTAATAAACACTGAGTAATACTTGTTTTGAAACAACAGTGTGTTTTTCTGTCATTCCCTATAAATTGTGGTGTAAACATAATACAGCAAGAAAGATTTTGAAGGGCACCTTGATGCAAACTTTTGGCATGAAGCTTTTTCTGATTTATCAGCTGGCATCAGTCAGCATTTGGATTTGGGACCAATGCAGCACGTACTGCTGTTACCAGGGTCAGAAGGAAGCCAAGGAAAACACTGGACACCAAAAGAGGGTGTCTTGCTCCACCAGAAATTGCCTAAGTGTGAAAATTTGTAGATCGCGGTCTTTGTTAAACAGAGAGCAAACTGTGTTATCACACTGTTCCCCTCTCTACAAATATTCTGAATCCATCGTAAAACTCCTAGTGATGTCCAGGAGACAAAATTAATTCTGCAGGGGAAGGTCTGATGCAGCCCACTCTAGGTTATTATTTCATAGCTCCTTGGAGCAGGAAGTCTCTCAGGCTGCACAAATTGTACAGGCTGTTTCTCATTCAAAAGTCATTCTAATTATAGAGAATTAGGAAGAAGCTTTCATTGTGGGAAGGTTATTTTGTAATGTCTTTTGTGCTCTCTTGTACAGCATCTGATCTGTGTTTGAGAAAGGAAATGCAGTTAGCTGATTGATTCTCTTCAGGGAAAGGCTGCTTTATTGCATCCTGTGCTTTTTATGAAGGACTCAAAAGAATGAGAGAAATGTTCTGGGATGTATTAGTTGATTCACTCCTTTTACCAGCTCTGGAGATAAAGTTTCCTAGAAATGCCCATGAAGAAACGTGGCTCAGACTTTATCCAGTAGCTGCTTTGGCTTCTATTTTCAGACCTTTTGATTTAAAATTCAGTCTTCTAAGCAGTGTTTGTCAATCATGTTGTTTATACAGCAAGGTTATCTATCACATTATGGGCTGAGACTAGCAAATCATTTTACGGAGGAAGGCCAGTTCTGCTTTCAGCTCTTTCAGTTGGAAGGACCAGAGCATTCGTACTGAGAAACACACAGTACAGGACATCACAACTCTACAACATGAAGCTGCACCATGTACTTGATACCACAGATTTGGGAAACAGCTCAGCCACCACTAAGGCACCAAATAAAGAATGTTACTGTACTATCTTTAGAATATCACACTAAAGGCAAGAAGCTACCTCTTGTCCTCTCATCTGTTCTGCCGTTTCCATCCCTCCGCAGACTTGGCAGAAAGGATCAGTAACATTGGCTAAAAATTCAGCATTTTAACTCAAAACACCAAGTATTTTCACAAACTGACATCAAGAGTGTAGCTGCAGCACATGCAAAGAAAGCCTGCATTAACCTCGCTTCCCTAGTACAGGAAGCAGTAGTAGTGAAAATCACAGAATCGTAGAATCACAGAACAGTTTGAGTTGGAAGGGACCTTAAAGATCATGTAGCTCCAACCACCTTGCCATAGGCAGAGACATCTTCCACTTAAGTAGGTTGCTCTAAGCCCAATCCAATCTGGCCTTGACACTTCCAGGGAGAGGACATCCACAACTTCTCCAGGTGTGTGCATTGACACGAGCAGGCAGCTGGGAGAACCACAGACTCGCAGCTAGAGTGCAAAGAGTAAATTTATTCCTGTTACATTGTTAACAAGGAGATCCTGGAAGCAACACCTGGGCAAAGGCACACAAGCAGAGATGCAGGCACCGTTAAACTTGGTCATGCTAGATGATCACTGGCCTGCTGTTCACACAGGCTTATCAAGCAATTCCCAGCTGCAAGGTCCCTTGATCGATTTACAGTCCTCCTTCTCATTTTAACCCATACCTTCCAACACTGGGCAACCTCAACACCCTCATAGTAAAGAATTTCTTCCTAAAATCTAATCTAAACCAACTCTCTTTCAATCTAAAGCCATTCCCTCTTGTCCTGTCACTACGTTCTCGTGTAAAAAGTTCCTCTCCAGCCTTCTTGTAGTAGCATAGACTACAATGTGGACAAACAGTCTGAAAAATCTTGCATACTTGTTTATAGATGCTTAAAGACAGCTTTTCATTTGGGCCAGTGTGGTCCAAATCCACCAGAACTTTTCAAACATCACTAAAATTATTCTTTGTCATTTTTACTTTGAAGAAAACCAGCAGCCTCTGGGTCTCATCAGGCAGAGCACTGCCAGGAGGTCAAGGGAGATGGTCCTGCCCCTCTGCTCAGCCTGATGAGACTGATCTGGGTGATATGTCCAGTACTGAGCTCCCCATCACAAGAAAACAGGGACAGGCTACTGGAGGTAGTCCAGCAAAATATTGGAGGACCAGGTTGCAGAGACCAGCACGTCAGGGAACCCCTATGTCCAGGAGACATGGGTGTGCTGGTAGCTTTGGGGGCTGTTTTAGAAAAGTATTTAGAAATTCATGTTTGTTAAAATTTTACATGTGTGAAATATTAGCAAAAATATGATTTATCTATTGTATTGTACTGATATTGATCCTGAATGCATACTTCACTGATCACTTTAATTATGTGTTGCTGGTAAGTTAATAAACCACTTCAATCTTGATTTGATATAAACTGTGTAAGCTGAGTAATTTTTCCTCCAGACAGGAATTTTCCTGGTCAACTCTGAGCTTGTGGGATTGCCACATGGCAAATATGGTTGAGCACAAAAAGGAGCAGAATGGAAAGGAGAAAGTTAAGAGGTCTTTTATGAAATAATTTATTTTTGTTTTCCAACATAGCAAAGTATTCCCATCTTGTTAAAATTATTTTGATAATGAATGATATGTTTTTCTTATTTGCTACAGTATTGTCCTCTGAAAGCTCCATTGAAGTATCCATGCACAAACACAGCTCTACCAGAACTTACTCGGTTGAGATGCTCACCATCTAAACTGCACTAGAGCAGCTGTTGCTGATGTCTCCAGTACACAGTTGTCTGTGCTCCCACCACACAGCCTCACTGCAGAAAGGGTAGAGCAGTGCAGGCTGTAGTCACACCTCTGATTGCAGACAGGGGCCTTCAGGGCTCTGGGCTCTTGATAAGATCACCAAAGAGTAAGGCTGGAGTTAATTAAGTCTCTAGGACTCAAATGCATTTTTCAATTACAACCTCTTGTCAATCGGGGGGTGGGTTTGAGAGTTTTAATGAATCTTGCAATTATAATGGCTTTTCCTTTTACTTAAACGCAAATACTAGAAACCACATACGTCTTCAGACAACAGCAGAGCTGCCACACACTCACTGCTCATAACAGTTTGATGAGACATTTAAGTTTGGTGCAAATAGTGAGTTTGACCTGATAATCAGTCAGTAACTGAAGTCATCCCTTAATAAAATGGATTTTAGTGAAAGACTAAGCTGAAGAATTCAGTTATAACTAACTTTGTTGTTGTTTGTTATATATGAAATAGAATATTTCCTGACAAAACCATGACCCTGATGTATAGGGCTGGTATTTCTGCTTTGCAGACATCAGGAACCCCTTTAGCTGGGGTGGGGATAAGGAAGGAATCCCATCTATGTCATAAAAGCATTCTGAGTCTTTCTCATACCCCCAAGAATCTTCCAGTGAGATGAATTTAAAGCATATCAAAGAACCCAGAACAGCCTGAAGTTAGGTTGTGTCTTATAAGAAGTCATAAAAACAAGCACAGTGAATTGACTTGTTCTAAGCACATTTTTTTCAAGACAACCAAAAAACCCAGCAATTGGCTTAAAAATAGTTAAAAGATAACTAATGATTTCACTCTTTACAGCTAGCCCTGTGTTACAGATTTCTGAATTGTAACTCTCAGCCCAATGTATGAAATGTGTTATGAAATCTGAACATATTGAATTATGGAAAAATATTCCAAGGTGAATATGTCTTTGCTTAAGAACTTCAGTGAAGCAACATTCATAAACTCATAGCTCTTTTGTCCTGGACTAGCAA